TCGCGATGTTGTGAACAGCAATTATTTAATTAACTAAGGACTACAGTAAACTTATACGAAGACAATTAGAAGACAATAAATTATTTATTTGTATTGGTAAATTTCAAATTCCTGTAGTTCCTCGTCTTTATTGCATCCAAAAACCAATACATATATTCTTTTCTTATGCCGAGATATATTTAAAGTAATAGTTGATTTCGTGTATGTGTGTTATTTCAATATTGTGAATTTTTTACTTTCGTCTTCTCAAGTAAATGTTTACTACTATGTTTGTTTACAAACAACTTTTTTGTTCGGCTGACGTGTATTATCGCGAGATACCATACCTGCCTTGTACCGGGCCACGCGCAGCACATACCGCAGTCGTTTCACCGCGTGGTCCGCGAGCGCGCCTCACTACCAGCCACGCGTTTTCAGATTTCAATTATGCAATTAATCATCGTGTATTGTTTTCGTCATCTGCAAAATATTCGTAACGAGAATGTGTGACTGTTTTGTTTGATGAGTTGTGGCGGTTGGAGTGTTCTTAAGTAAGAAATTAGTGTCTGTTGATTTCGGCACGAGTTTTCAGTTGATAAGATATATTCCTGGATCAAAAATCTTTTCATCATTGCACTGGTAGGTGAGTAATTAATTTTTTCGCGGAAAGTTAGACGGTTTATATCAAATTGATAATCCCATTTGAGGGATATTATTTGTGCGAATTACAAACACGTGGTTTTTATCTGAATTCATATCCCTGTTTCCGAAAATAACATGCATGATTTAATTACGAGTATTACAAGCATTGTTCTAAAAAAATATCCGAGGAATATTAAAATGACAATATTCATGTGGCCGACCACGGCTTTGTCCTCCTTTCGCTAAACGTTTTTCATCGAATTACACTCCTTAGCATCATTAAATTAAAAACTTTCTTGTTGATCTAATAAAATCTTGCACGTTGAATAGTTTTTCGCTAACGTAGTCTCCATATATCTTAATATTTACAAGTAACTAGTTATTTTTATCGTATTTACCTACTGTATTAACACGCGCCGTCGCATGCTGATTTGGATGTTTTCCGCCGAATGTTCTTGCAATTTATGATGATGCTTCACCCGTCGGTTACCTTATGCAGTTAATGCTATCATCAAATGATAAATGTATACACAATATATTAAAATGTAAGTGTTTTATTCTTGTAGCAACTTTTTACTCAACTTTTCCGATGATTTTCGGGAAAAATCTTTGAATTTATGTTGAAATATAGTTGTTTCTGTGTAAATTTCTCTCGTCATGATGTAAATATTGACCATATTTGTAGTTTTTAAAATTTTCCTTTTGTAACACCCTGTATCTTAGTTTTCCTAACAGTACATAGTAAATCGTCTTTATTTGTGCGTTTTGAGTGTTCTTTGTTTTAATGCTTGGAATTTCCTTTTTGTATCACCCTGTTTATTAGTTTTCCGGAGCATCAGTTGAAAACGAGAAATATTTGTTGTGTTTCTATTTGTGACACACTGTATAATCGTTTTCCTTCACATCCCTGAAAATTTCGCTTTGACTTTTATTATATTCTAACTTCTGGCACTTTAAATTTTCTTTTTGTAACACCCTGTATTTGTTTCCATTTTCAATGACGTTGAAATTGGCCTATTTATTAATTTCTATATCCCGGTAGAACTGTAGGAAGTGGTACTTGTTTATACGTGCACAGCTAAGCAGGTCGCAAGTCCTGTTTCAATATGGTGCCATGTATTTTATTGACTTGTAAAATCTAAACTTGTATTGTATCAAATTGTATTTGTTAATAAAGAAATGTTAAGAAAGATTTTGACTTATGGTTTGTATGTACCTCTATCTATCATTTCAGGTACAGGTCTCGAAGAGAGTTCCCTCTCTCAGAGGATGATCCCCACTATAAAAATTGTTAAGGTGTCCTATATGATTTGTGTAATCCATCTTTCATTTCAGCAACAGGTCAGAACTTGTAAGAATATTTTTAAGTGTCACCTCTCTTGTGACGACTTAAAACTTAGAAATATTTGAACAAGACCTTATAAGGAGTTCCCTCTCTCTGGGGATGATCCCCCACCATAAAAATTGTTGATATGCCTGAGTATTTCGGGGATGAAGCGCAGAGACATCGTAGCTGTAGGATGGGCCGGGAGCAATGGAGGCATCGAAGTAGTAGACGGTCTTATAACGACACGCCGCTAAAAAATTTAAAAATCCGATCCACTCCTGTTCTCTTTCTTCTATCTCCTCCTCTTCTCAACTCTGTACTCTTCATCCTTCTGTCTCCTACTCATCTCTGCTATTCCTTCTTCTACTTCTCCCATTTCTTTGATCTCCGTTTCTTCACTTACTTTCTTTACTTCTCATATTGCCTTCACTTGTATTGCAAGTTCTCTTATGTTTCAATTGAGTTTACATATGCAACCCAAATTACACCTGTTATTTTTATAATTGAGAAAAATGTCTTCTATACCTGAGATTCGATCCGTGCCTACTAGCATGCTAGCAAGTGCACGTACCCACTCGACCACTGAGTGATTTTATCATTGTTATTTGATTGTTCTATTTATGATTCTACTTTATTCAACTTTTTAAAAACAACAACTTTCAACAGCTATATATTGTACACGCTCGACGCACTCTAGATTTAAGACATCAATCCTGCAAACGGCAAAAGGGAAACCAGAAAGAAATATGAAGAAGTATATAATATTACATTATGTTTTATTAGCAACATTAAATAAAAACTACATACATTTGGTTTAAATCGAAAATTATAGACACCTCTTAAATCTCCTGAAAGTAAAACTTACCTTGTAATACGCGCATCTGTAGCATTTCTGCGACGGAAGCGGTAGACTCCTTGGTACAAGTGCTCCTAAACTTCTTAAACAGGCATCAACGTTGTTTATTTATAAAAATTAAACAAAAATCCACATTATTATTAAGTATGTATGGACACGCAAGTTATTTACACATAGGTTAACACGAGTGCAATGTAATTCTACAAGCGAAAAAGAATCGCCGATGGCCGACGAAACATCGCACGCGCACAGGTGAACCATCGATAACTCCGCGATTGATGAACATTCAACACCTGCTATCTCACCAGCAAAACTACATTCACATCAGATTTCAGTAATTGCCGACAATTGTTAATTGCACATTCCACAATTTATCTAATTGCGATTTGAAGAACGAAAACTAGTCGCAATGAAAACGCGCGATTCACTCGACAACCGATATGGAACTGCGTATGCCTTGCGTTGCACACAGCAGACAGCAACTGCACGAGGTCACCATCGCTGTTGAAATACGCACGCTGAAAGAAACAAACAAAAAAACTTGTTAACATTCATTCATATGCGTGTATTCTAGCCCACCTAAGAATACTTTACAATACTGCAACAAAATATGTATTATTTTATAGGGAATTGTCCGTGGAGATTTACGAGATATTCGCAATTGAAATAAATCAATAAAAATTGAAAAAAATTGCAATTTTTAGCAGTTTAAGTTCCGTTTTTAGACCTTGTACACCATTAAATTAAATTATTTTAAATTGAGAGATAGAAAAACATGTTGTGCAGAACATGAATTGAATTGTACTCGTACTATGCATGAAACTCTTAATTTCGATTAAATTTTAAATCGGATGCCTGATAGATAATTTAATTCAACATCGATTATTTTGGTAACTTTTTTTGATAACATTAACCGGTTAGACCCTATTTACAATTTTAGAGAAAAATGCATTCGTTTTTTGTAGACTTTTTTGTTCTTGACATAATCGCCAAAAAATAATAGACCCTGTTCTTTGACCGAAAAAATTTTAAGTAATAAAGTTCGACCCTGTTTTTCGACCGAAAAAAAAACAAAACAATTCGACCGAAAAAAAATTTACACAAAAATTCGACAGAAAAAATTTTACCAAAAAAATTCGGCAGAAAAATTTTGAGTAAAAAAGTTCGACCCGTATTGTCAAAAAATATTTTAAGAAAAAAGTTCAACCCTGTTAATCAACCAAAAAATATTTTAAGAAAAAAGTTCGACCCTGTTATTCAGCCAAAAAAATATTTCAAGAAAATAATATCGACCGTTATTGGATCGAAAATAATTTAGATACGTTTTGACACGGTTTTTCGAGTAAAAAATAAAAAATATTAGAGAAAAATAGCTATTTTTGAACCGCATTTCAGGGCATTTATGGACAAGTTAAAGGGTTGAAAAGGTATGCATGGGCTAGATAAACTCTCGAACTATAATATGGCGGTAAGAAATTTCAGAAAAGTCAGTTAGTTCAGGAAATACAGGGCGTTTTCCACACCATGTTTTTAACTTTTCAAAATATTGCCAACATTTGAAGGGCATTTTAGGGCAATTCCAAAAGGATTACAGAATTGAAATAGAATGCATCATTTAGACTATAATATGGCGTAAAGAAACTTACAAAATACGTATTCGTTCAGGAGATACAGGGCGTTTTCCACGCCATGTTTTCAAATATTTATAAAATTGCCAACTTTTGAAAGGCATTTTTGGGCACTTCCAAAAAGTTTAGAGGATTGAAATAAAATGCATCAAAAAGAGGGTCAAAAAACTATAATATGGCGTAAAGAAACTTACAGAATACGTATTAGTTCAGGAGATACTGGGTGTTTTCAACACTATGTTTGCAACTTTTTATAAAATTGCCAATTTTTGAAGGGCATTTGAACGCACTTTCAAAAGGTTTAGAGGATTGAAATAAAATGCATCAAAAAGAGGGCCATTTAGACTATAATACGGCATAAAGAAACTTACAGAATATGTATTAGTTCAGGAGATACAGGGCGTTTTCCACGTCACAACAATTCTGAAGAAACTTCATTTTAAAAATATAAATATGATAAAAGTATAATAAAAAAATTAGTATTACATAAATAGAAGAATAAATTACTTACATTTTGAACAATGTAGATATCCAATATCCTTCTATATTTGAAATAAACCACTTAATTCCCCAAAGATTGAAACAATGCGGTGCGTTTAGTCTTCCAACAAAAACCTGAAAACCAAACCAAATAAGTGTTAATGCCAAGTAAAATAATTAATGGGGTAACTAAATGTGAGCGTTTTTATATCCTTGTGGTGACGGACGTGACCGGAGACCACCATCGACACGCAATAGTAGATTCATGCATATGCGCACGTGCACATGCAACGACACGCGTCCACGTGAATCGCAATAGCCGACCTCGCCAGCCCATCGACGCGACGCGGTTTTCCCGATTTCCATCAGCGACGTGGCTAACGATTCATTATTTGAACGACCTGCACGTGAACCGCGCGGCGGCGATGTGTACGTGACTACCCACGAGCATCTTACAATACATAAACGTGTCGGTTGCAGCATCGTTTATACATAGCGCGATTGTACAATTTCAATATTCACAAAAAATCAATTTTTGCATCACAGATTATATCGTTTCATAAACATAATCTACAAAAGCCCTGACAAGATCGAAAAAATAACATGAATTGTTCTAGATTTTAATTAAAAACATTGTTTATTGTGTATAATCTCAAGATTGGTGGCGATATGCGTGAAACAATCACGTTCGCGGTAACGTGGACTGCACCGCCACCACGCACCACGTGAATACATGATTCACGTGATGGCACTCGTAATCGCGCAATATGTAATTTGCACTGGACTTAACTTGCGGGTTATTTATAGAACAATAATTATTATCTATAGTTGAATAGTGTATCTCCGAACAATTTAATAAACCTTTCTCAAGTGTTACAAGTATTACGCAAACTGGGCAAAATCGATGAAAAATAATTAAACATCAAATTAATAAAAAGCAAAACTGAATTATAAATATCTAATCGCATCACCGCTTCGATGTGAAAGCAATTATCGTTCATGCGCCAGCAGTAATTACATCATCGATCAACGATAGTAATAAAATTAATTTTTATAAACGTAATTTTATTCATGCCACACCATACCTGAATTAGTTAATAAGTAATAAGATGCAAAATCTAGACATTCTCAAATGGGAGCCCTTTGCGTTTCAGTTTGCGTTAGTTATAACAAGTTTATGTTATATTTTATGCATTTTCAATGACGCTGCATGAACATGTAGACATACAATTATAATTTGTTCATTTGTCCGCTCGTGCGCACATACTCGATCGATGTGCATCGCGAACATGTGCGAGACGTGACAAACGCGATCATCATCGGCCATCGGCCATCGTTTTTCTGTATTCTGTGCGGAATTTTAATTCGCTCGCGTACACGGGGCGTAATTACGGCGGCGCGCCTGCATCGCTCGATCAACCAACACATAGCGAATTAATTTTCATGCATATTTTCATATTTTTATTGCATATTTAAATACGCGCATTAAAATCTAGAATATATTCAGTTTTAATTTTAGTTATTAGTTCTTTATAGCGAAATTTTACGAGTTTTTTAATGTTTTACTGTTTGAAATGCAAGAATAAAAACTAATAAAATAGTCAATGTCAATCTACGACTTGTAGTATAATAAACCGCGGTTGAATGGAAATACACCAACGCGCGATATCGAAATTGCGACAAAAATACCACGTGAAATACATATTTGAAAGCCTGTTAAAAACGTGAAAAAATAAATTATTAAATACGCTCGCCGTAAATACCAACACAAAATAATGCGAGTAATGTAAGTAATGTACAAGTATGTAAGCAGTAATGTACGTGTAATTGTTTCGTTTCGCGCTCACGTGTTGCAGAGCGTGGCCTCGCTGTGCACGTTTCGCCGTGCGTCGGTGTCGTCTGACGGCGCCGTCGGCGGCGGTTTATTTCTCGGACAGTTCACTGCGTTCGGTGAATCGAGGAGCTGGCGCGCGGTTGCGTTTCGTTTTCCAAACGCAGATTACGCGAACACGACGGGTAAGCGCACGACAAAACGCGCGACTACCGACTACGTGCCAGTGGAAACGCGTCGCTCGCGAACTGAACATCGCCTATGACTTTCAAGCCGGCCTCACGCACGCGACTAGCACGTTTCGCACAAATTCGCACAATCGTGTGCGCCCGCAGCGCGGGGCGAGACGCAACCACTTTAGTTTTTGGTCTATTGATTAACAGGAAAAAACCCAGCGCGCACTCAAAAGTGATACATTTGGAATACATCGTAAATCTACGTTGAACTTCGTCTTAAATTTGTGCGCACTGCGTTCGTTAAAGTTCGTGATATATCGTGATACTGCGTAGTATATTGTGTGGAGCAGTGATATTTCTATTCAAATTCAAATTTTTCAACTATTTATCACTATGGAAATGAGATTTTGGGAGGATAACTCTTTGCAACACGTTAAATTTGAAAGGTAACTAAACTACTATATAAAACTTGTTTTATATATTTTTAATATTATTACACGCCGATTGTTTTGACGTTTATTGCCAATATACCTTGATGCCAATTTTGAGTATACATTGTCGTTTTATGTTGAACACGGCTGGTTCACATGTGTATGTGTATATGTGTTGCCTTGTGTAATCATTCGAATTCGAACGTGTTGATTAACACGTGCGCCGCGTGCACGACCGAGTCGCATGCACTTTTTAATAATTTTATTTTACTCTCGGAACGATCCAACCGACCCAACGCCTGAACGATTCTATAAATAATTAATAGTCTATCGATGGACCGCACTTGCGAAATTTTTATTAAATTTTATATTAAATCTATAAAAAAAATATTTAAATGATTTAAAGACCGAGTGTCATAATTAAGAAGAGTGTGTAACATTTGTTTGTTTATATTTCGGCCCCGAGGCTGCCGCCGGGTGCGAGAAAGTAGTTTTCGAAAACGAATTTTTTTGGCAGCTCTCAATGACCGCACGTTAAAACCGAGGCCAACGTAAAAACAATTCAAAACAAACAAACCGCAAACGTTTTAATTAACAACTAAGAACACAATTAAAATTATAATGTTATAGAATAAAAAATTGATATCCGTAAAAATGAACAGAGCCGTATTAAATTTTATTTTTCACAAATCAGTGAATAACTTTTGATTAGAGGTCATAAATGTGTGATACAAATCAAAAATGTGCGTTGTCATCACAATTTGTAATCGACGCAATTTATAATTGTGATTGCAATGTAATTGCAGCGCGTACGTGAGTACAGAAAAAATGTTTACAACATTCGCGGTGTTTACGATGCCGATAATTACGATCGCGCATACAAACTAGCATGAAACTATGTCAATGTTCACGATTGCAATAAATATTTAATTAAACACCAACCGCACGCTTTAATTAAATAATATTTATTACATTTTAATTCATCAAAACAAACACTTACGAACCGAAATTTAAAAAAAAAAAAACAATTTAGTTTGGAGTTGTTTAATTGACTTACAATTTAGTTGTCATTCACATGACTCTATTCGTTATCAGTATTCTCTTATTATTGTTATCAAAATTATAATTATGCACACCACTCACAATCATTAAGTCACGGGACTTGCCACACTAACATACACTCCAAGTACAACAAAATAAAATGTGTTTGAAAAAATCAGGCGCATGACGCACGATTGTTTATCGCGCGCACGAGCACGAGATTCGCTTATCGCCGGCGGTAATATTTTTATTTGCTTTGACTAAGACGCGAAGAATGTTGCAACATGTAGCACTAATATTAAATAGTTGACGTCTGACAACTATGTATTCTACAAGTGAAGTAAATATTATTGTGTGAACACGTTGTATATGCATGTGTGTGTGACAGGTTTTCACGTTGACTTGTTTTGGCCGCGCTGCTAAAAATAGCAACAATCTATTTGTGTGACACGGCGCACGTCGTTCCCGCTTGGCAGGTTCACGTATGTGTGTGAATGGAAATTTTTGATTTCCGGTATATTCGATAAGCGCACTCCACACACATATTCATAACAGCTGTGCGCAAGCTACGAGTACCCACTTCTAATCACTACAGACACTTGTAATCACATGTACGCTTGTTGTCTGGCCCGCTTAGCGATAAACATTTTGTTATGTATTATCACAATCGTCACGTGTTTCACTCCAGTCGAATATCTATTTACGATTCATGATTTCGGTTAATTTGTTTCGCATGATGAAGTAAGCTGATAAGCGTCAGGCAATTTTTTGGTACATTTGAGTTTTATTTTTTGCATTTTAAGCGGAAATATTACGCGCGCTAATGGATTATCGTGGTTATCGCTCGCCTGGCGAAACATTATCATGCATAATCGCATGCTTTTCGATTTTCAAGGTCGAGAATGACGCAAATTGTGATTTTTTTTCGCCGCGGCGGGTCGACGACAGACTCGCCGACTCGGTATCGATGGAAATGCGTGATATATCAAAATATTATCAAAGTTTTAAAAAAATAATCAAGTTAACATGGCAAATATTTCACTTGTTTCAGTAATTCCAATGACAACATTCCGCCGCGCACGCGCGAACCTTTCTATTGCGAAGCGGCTAACCTGAATTTTGCTACCGGTGACGACGACTGCATCGACTACGCATATCGCAAGACTCCTGTTCGAGTGTCCCGCCAGGACCCGCTCTCGCATCGCATCATTGAGAAGCGTCGACGCGATCGTATGAACAACTGCCTTGCCGACTTATCTCGTCTTATCCCCGCCGAGTATCTCAAAAAAGGTCGTGGTCGCGTCGAGAAAACGGAAATCATAGAAATGGCGATCAAACACATGAAATACCTGCAGTATATGAATCACTATCGTCTGGGCTATCAAGAATGCATGTCGGAGGCGATGAGGTTCCTGGTCGAGGTTGAAGGGCGATTTCCAAGGGAACCAATTTGTGTGCGGCTATTGGGCCATCTGCAGACGCACTGTGATAATATTTGCCGAGGAACTGCTGATGCTCCGCCCACTGGAGTGACATCTACCGGGCAAATACATGTTAACATTGATAAAATGGAACCAAAAGTAGAGCCTAATAACAATTACGATAGTGAACATCAGCAGGAAAGCATGAATGCGACGAATGGATTTGAAATGGTTGCTGAGGTAGAAGGGCGGAGTGATATGGACACGGAGGCGGATGTAGACGTGGGGGTGGAGAAAAGAGGCGAGCAACATCACGAACATCACGCTGGGTACAAATACAAAAATGATATCAAGCAAAGATTTACACAGGACAATGCTAAGAATCCCAAAGATCGAAGAAATAGTACACCGATTAGTACTGATAATCAAACATGGTGGGTAATTAAAATTTATATCTAAAACAGTGTTGGAATACTTAATGAAACTTTTTTCTTTAGTTCTAGTATTGGTTCACCGACACCAGCCCACTTCATAGACAGCACTCCTTCGTCACACGCCATTTTGAAACCTTCCTCGCACCACCATGAAATGGAACCGATGATGACCACATCCTGGACTTTATCAACTGCCCCGCCCCCCAGCCAAAACTTGTCTTTATTCTCCACCAATGAAACTTCAGCATTCAGTAGTCCATTACACCGAAAACCAACATCTCTACTAGAAGTTAAAAACTTGACCAATGGCGTGAATGGCACACACTCGCACTCGTCAACAAATGGCATGACCAACGGACACAGCAACACCGAAAAACTTGGCTTGCAAGTACCCGCGTTTGTTCTGCACACAAAAGGATCCTTCTACATACCGGTGACTCTAGAATATGATGCACTGTCGCCGTATCTCAACGGCCATGACTTACTCAGCGCAATGAATCAAGATGTGGTTCTGCATCCGGTCGCCATTAATGTCAACTTTCAACAGCAGCCATATGTGGCATTACAACAACCAAAGAAGTTTGAGAAGTTACCTGGTTAATACACTGACACAATTTTCATTATTCTATTAACCGCAAAGATTATGTTAGGTTAATTTTTGATATGTTTATAAAATGTTGAGCAAGGTTAGATACTGTGAGGGGTTAGACGCGAGAACGTAACGAGACTGTGATGTATCCATAAGACTGACACGACACCTGATATGATGCGATATCATTAAGTTAATAAAGAGAAACTTAACCTATATTCAAAAATATATATCAAAAGTCTTGTACACGACATACGCGCAACGTTGTAAAACTCAATCGAAAGTTTTATTTGATAAATAAAGAGAGATTGTTATGTTTAGTGTGTACACCCGATTACAGAAGGCACGCGGAAAACACTATTGCTTATCTTTAAGGTTAGAATTAATCGGAATCATCAGCATTTTGCATACTTTCGCTTAACAATTTACGCTTCTTCCTTTGGGTATCACGTGTGGCAAATTTTACATTCGAAATTGTTTCGTCTCCATTTTGTTTAGGCTTTTTGACCGACAATTTAGTAAAAGATATACTTGCTACACGTTTTCTAACTGACGGTGATTCAGAAACAAATGTCGATGCAGTTACTGATGTGCCTGAATTTGAATCTTCAGACAAATTTGTTTCCAGAGCTGTTTTTCGAGGATTTATTTTATGTAAATACATCCCGGCATATTTATCATAGTCTTCAGCACTCCATTCTTCGTTCAAACGCTTTTCACGCGGTGGGTTAATCGGCAAAGAGTTGGCAACATAATGAAAAGCATTGAAAGTGTTTGATGTTGGCTGAGATTGGTTTATGATGGGCGCAACATATGTAGCACTCACATTTAGAACATTTTCTAGTACAGAATTACCCAATATGTTGGTTGAATTAAATTGGGCTTCTGCTGCATCTGCCTGCATTAATTCTCTCTCCAACTCATCAATTTGTGCATCTCGGTGAATCAGCAAGTTCCTGTAATAATCAATTTCTTTCGCGTAGCCATCTTGATCGCTTGAATGATTTGTGTTGCGCTGAACGCTTTCTACTAGCGTCTGCAATTCCGCATGTTCGTACTTGAGATGTACATTTGCCACCATTAATTGTTTTAACTTATTATCCACCTCGTTCAGTTGACTTTGATAATTCACTTTCATATTGTTCGTTTCGGTTGTGAATTTATGCGTTAAATTCGCAATTTCGTTCTCCAATTCATATTCTCTTCGTTCATATGAAATGTTTTTAGTGGTAATGGCTTCGTTCTGTTGCAACTCTCTAAGTTTTTTCTGTTCCAATAAATCGTTGCGTTTCTGCGCAAGTTGAATGAAATCAACTTGGAGTTTATCGTAACTTTCTACACAGAACCACATAACAGTTTAACCCTAAAGTTATGTATGTAAATGACTTGAATTAAGATCTTTTACCTTTATAGTTTATTTCTTCATAAATGTTTCGCTGTTCATACAAATTTTTATACGTATTTCTTTGATCTTCCACACATTTGATAGCATTTTCCAAAAGTTGACGTGATTCTGTTTTAAACTACAATTATTTTAGGTTGAAAAAGGGATAATTAACACTATAATTTAAATATTATACTGCATTACACTAACTTGGTTTAAGTTACTATTGTTATGACCTTCCATGTTGCTTTAAACTAAGTAACTTTCAAAGAAATTTGTAAATACTCAGCACATGACAGAAATAAAACAAAACTGAACTTCCACTGTAGGCAATCCGACATACAACAAATTTTACAATGTATTGGATGGTCTGGACTGGTATACATTTCAAAGGGTACTTGATTGAAAGTACAAGATACAATTATAAATATTTGTCCTATTTTCTAGTACTTGCTTTAAACTAGTTATAATGTTTATATAATAAATTTAAAAAATCCTACCTTATGTCTGCAATTTTCTTGCAATATCCTCTCAAATTGCATTCCTAAGTAGTTAAGGTCCATCACATTCTAAGGAGTGTATTGGAGGTGAACAAATGGTTTTAATTTTATCCAATCATCTTGCTTAACATCCAAATTTTCCTTTTTCTAGCTGCCATAAGAACAAATTCCATTTGATATTTGTGGACAACCTTAACCTCCTGGAACTAAAACAAATGAACTGTTTAAAAAATCATAAAATTCAATTTTCCACAATCATACCATCATTTATCTTAGTTAATGTTCACGTTATACCCTTGCAGTCTTTAATTAATGATTAAAATACACTACTGTCACAGAACAACGCGCAAACTGAAACCCAACTGCACAACCACATGTTTTCAGATGATAAGAATTTTACTGTTCAATATTATTGTACAATCAAATATTCAAATACAGCTGTTTATATATTAAATAATTTAAAAATCCTAAACAATCATTAAACATATTAATCTATTTTCCATCGTTTAATGTTTCCTGATACATATTTAAACATCTTGGTGCCTTTCAAGTTGCCTAAACAACATAGAGGTTAACAGAAGTAACAAAACAAATGACTGTTGCGTTGTGTTGTTTGTTCGGTCGAGAATGTAAACAGATAGAAACAAATGAAGTAGAGTACCCCGAAATCTAAACTTCTAGTTAGAACAAAACCACCCCTAAAGCATCCCACACAAAAGCAGCACAAACTATGATTTGAGAATCCGGCGCAACCATGAGAGTTCTAGCGGTAGCCCGCCTTTGTTTCGCTTTGCTAGTATTTCTTTCAGTATTATATTTTTACTTTTATCACACTGGTATTGGAGTGAACTATTCGGAAGGCAAATCCACAATAGAAAGCTCATCAGTTGGTGCAATCAAAAGAATATTCAACAGTAATGGGTAAGTAAAAACAGCACAAAACCACAATTTACTATTACAATACAACATAAAATATGTGATTGATTCAGGCATAATATTACATTGGCTGTGGTTGCCTGTGGTGATAGACTACAGGAAACACTCACAATGTTAAAATCAGCAATAATGTTAACAAAACAACATATTAAGATCATTATTATTACTGAGGACAACTTAATAGAAAATTTTAATGAAAAGCTGGCACAATGGCAGGAAACAACCAACAATGCTTTTGGTTTTAAAGTAATGCCACTCACATTTCCTAAAGATAACACACAGGAATGGAGGAAACTATTTAAACCATGTGCTTCACAAAGACTTTTTCTACCAGTAAGTATACCAAAAGAAATTAAGCAAAAAATAATCAGTAATTTAAGAATATTTCTAGAATGTTTTGAGTGAAATTGATTCCATTTTATACGTCGATACCGACACACTGTTTTTAACACCGGTGGAAGATGTGTGGGACCACTTTAATCAGATGAATTCTAGTCAGATGGCTGCGCTAGCGCCCGAACATGAAGATCCAAATGTTGCATGGTACAATAGGTTTGCTAGGCATCCCTATTACGGTCCTTTAGGTAAAGAAAACAATTTAAAAACATATTTAGTTTAGATATATGTTTGTTATTGATTTCCAGGTGTTAATTCGGGCGTGATGTTGATGAATCTGACGAGAATGCGTCAATTTCAATGGGTTGACTATGTTATACCAATTTATAAACGGTACAAGCTTAAAATCACATGGGGTGATCAGGATATCATCAATATTATCTTTCATTTTCATCCAGGTACGCAATATACGCTTCATTTCATGTATAAAATTAATAATTTTCCTTAATATATGGGTTTGATTCTTTTACAGATAAATTATTCATTTATCCGTGCCGATATAACTTCAGGCCGGACCACTGCATGTACATGAGCGTCTGTAAGAGTGCCGAACGTGCTGGAGTCGCAGTGTTGCACGGCTCCAGGGGGTTCTTCCACTCTGAAAAACAGCCAGTGTTCTCATCAATATACAGAGCATTCGAAGAGGTCAGTATTAAAACTAATTTTTAGTAAATAAATAGATGAAGAATTAAATATTTTATGTTATTATAGTTTCAACTTGGAAATGACATATATGAAGAGTTTTTCATGCCGCTGGAGAACTATTTGGACCTCGCAGGTGATTCAAACTGCGGGAAAATACCCGGAATATATCTCAAGAATCTCAAAAACTTCATTGATATTAAAGATACGCTTTAAATCTCTTATTAAGTTCAATAAATATCAGGAAACAATCAAAAGTGGACACAAAGATCAAATAATACACTTGAAACATGACTGAAAATTTGTATTATATAACTATTTTATATTGTATATTGATTAAACTTAACAAGAATCATTTTAACTCTAAAATTCGCGAAATAAAAGCAATAAATTTTGTTTTACAACTTATACTTACATTTATTTGACTTATCCATTGTTAATCTTCAGTTGAAGCATTTGATGACTTTTGCTGAACAAGTTTTTGTTCCAGTTCTGCCCATGGATTCTCCATAAATGATGGATGCATGAATAAATGCTTGTTGAATGTGTTGTTGTGGTCCTGTTTTGCTTTAAACTACAAAAAAACACATTTATATAGGCATAAATTTTATGAGAAAAACAAGTGACAATCAAATTTTGATTTAAATTAGTATGGAAAATAAAATTTCTCTTACTAAATGTTGTTACACTTAAAATAATAATATCTTCAACAATAATGTATGTTATTATGGACCATTTATAATTTTTAATACTTACATGTCCAAAATTATTAAAACTCCTGTTCTGGCTCTGATTAAAACTAGAATTATAACTCCTATTATGATTTGAGTTATAACTTCTGTTGAAACTTCTGTTTGGACTGTTGTTATACTGATTATTATAATTATTATAGTTATTAAAACTATTACGATTATTGTGATTAAAATTGTTAAATCTTTTGCCGCGATTATTCTGGAAGAACGGCGGATTTTGATGTCCCTGTGGGCTGCTGTAATTTCCAGGTGAAAAGTGATGATTGCCAGGGGAACCTTGTGTATCAACACTAAACCCAATAAAATCAGAAGTATTAACTTTCGGAGTGCCTTGCGCACCTCCACCGTCACCGGAACCACTCATTATTATGTTTTAATTGTTTAAAAATTAAGATTTAATCGTTTAGTATCAATGAGCACAACTGTTTTGAGGAGCAGAGCTATTGCAGAGGTTATGATATGCCGCAAAAGTATAAAGCTATCGTCACACAAATTAAAAACTGCACATCTAAAGATTTTGATTCGGTGCTTTTCATATCATTGTGTGTTACACCATCATGGTACATTATCTTTATGACAAAGAAACTTCTATTTTTTTACTATTTTTTATGGGTGTATATAAACTTTATTTGACATTTGACGGTTCTTCAACTTCCAGCGTTTGCATCTAGGCGTTTTATTTTCATTCGGATGAAGAATGATGAAGAAAAAAATCACTCCTCTTTGCACTCTTCTTATTAGCCACGACTTCCCCTTGCTCACTGCTTATCTCAAAGTCCACACAGTCCTAGTCCTGGTTCTAATACTTAAATTAACTAGCTTAACACTTTCACGTTAGGATATATTTCAGTGTTTCTGAAAGATCAATGAATAACGTATACATTATAATGTTTTACTTTATTGCATTACACAAAGAAATACGTGACATTTGGTAGTTTTCCTCTTGTATATATACAGCAAATTTACAGTAATCATGTAATTGTTACAATATTACAATTTAATCTCCCCATCGTCCATCATATAATATGTATATATTCATTCATTAAATATTTTTTTATAATATATAGTATTTAGGATATGACTAGAAAAATGAAATCGTTTATTCATGTATGAGTATTAGAAGGCATTATTAGAATCACAGTAATATTAAAACCAAGCTCTCGTTATGTAATTGTTTAGGTGTTACAACTAATCGCAATCGTTTGTTTCGTTATTCAATTGTATGTTTTACTCTACATGTAAGTAAGTACATAAGTACATTTATACGATATGTCGGTTATAAGTTTTATTTCACTATCAGAGATATCTACTAGTACGGCTAAAAGGTCATAAAGTCATTTTATGGTGTGTGTTATACTAATTGTTCAATGTTTTTAGTACATACAGTATTATAACAAGTATGTAATATAAGTATGTATGTAGTACTATTCGTTTATGTTTAGTTCATATATTAAAGTTATTAAAGCCAAATCGGAGGGTGTGTGAGCAATAAAACGCTTGTGACGGTTTTATTGTCGCATTTTAAGTTTACCTTCGTTCGAGAATTTCGATCAGAAGTTAATTTGGTTGCATACATTGATATCAGACACCTCAATTTTGTTCCAGTTATATATTTTTTGTTTTGTTTCTTTACGTTTACATATTGGACCCAATTCATATGTATTCATTTGATGCTATAAACATCATGTAACACATTCTTCCCTTCAATTTGTTTGGTCATAGTTATTTGTTTTATCATTTATAGATGGTACGAAAGTTCACATGTAATTTTAATTCTTAACATTCAAAATCCTTTCACAAGTATTCTATGTTTTTGGTTTTTTCAAAACATTTGGTTCAAGTATTCGTGTAAAATTGGTTCTAGAGTCTAGTTTAATCATTCCATCTAAGAATATGTTTTAATTCTTTTGATTATGAATACAGACTTACGGTCATCTAGCCCGTGTATTATTTAATTTTTAATATTGTGTGTTTGTAAACACAACCATTTTATGTGACGCCATCTCAAAAGCGTTTGTAAATTGACAACCAATCTTGTTTCGTTTTTATTTTCATGGTAAATTTTAAGTTTTAAGTTTTAAGATACATTTTTAGTTCAGCGATTGAGCAAAAAGTGATCAGTGGTCAACATTTACAATTCGTGTTCTCGTGTGACAGTGTAACATAACCAAAAACATAACATAACCAAACATAGATATCAATATGTTACAATACATTAATTTTAATATGTTTTGTGTCGTTTAGATTGTTATTCATACTTAAAATTCGTTTTCAACATATTTTTACGTGATATTATTAGATAAATAGAATTGAGAGCTATGCCACAATCATTCAAATCTTATAATCAATATCAATCAATACAATGATTAAATACGAACACTATTTCAGCTATTTTAGATTTAGATTCCAAGTGAATTCATGTTATTTATAGCTTATCAGTTAATAGTTATAAACAAGAGCTAATCAGTTACTATCTTATCATTTAGTAGATATGATAACGCGGCAAGTCATTGCTAATCACTACCAGAATGACAATCATTACAATAATAATCTTAAGTTAAAAAGTCGTTAAACAATTAGAATATGTTCGTTATTGTTGACTCAATATTCATAAACAGATTATATATCTTGTTACAATTAATGTAAAACTATTTCTATGCCTTCAGACTAAATCTTGTTTCACAATAACATTAGAACTCAAAATGATTTCAATGAAGTTGCGAAGAATTTTTCAAATTTTAACTTTAATCCTACTCCAGTAGAGATTACACGTTTTAAAACTAATCTACGATTATTTGCGTGATAAGTTGTGGCCCCGAATGTTCGTTTATCAATTCTAATATGTCAATATCTTATCAATTTTTAATATGTATCAATTTCTATCGATATAAAGTCCATGTTTGTTTATAATATAAACTACTCGTTTTCTCATTTTTTACGTGAGCTGATTTCGTCCCCGATTTTCCCCGAAATTTTGATAAATTTAGTCCGATATCCTTGACAACCTCTGTGACACCAATATCTCCGTCTCAAGACTTCATGAATGTTCGCGTATGGTCGTGATACAGTTGAATTGACTCTTAATTTAACTCTTAATGAATGGCAAATAATTGTTCGAGTGTTCGACGAGTGTACACACAGAGATGCTTGTGTACTTTTACGCGTCACTCTTGATGAAGCGGTCCGTTTCGTCGGCGATGGCAATGTCCTCTTCGTCCTCGGGCGGGCTGGGCCCGGAGATTGAGAGCGTTGGTAAACCAAAGTGTTTTTGTTGCTCATCGAGCGATATGTTGTCGACGCTGCGCGCTTTTCGACATAGTTGTGATTGCGAACCGTGCCGTCGCAGGAACTCCTTGGAGTCGAAGCCGGGCCCGCTGTACGACGTGAAGATGGCCGAATTGAGTCGGGGGCGGGATCTACGGGTCGTCGATGGCGTAAGAATCTATTGATTACATAAAAAACATCGATTAGTAAAAATATCGTATATATTACCAACAAAAATAAACATTTTATGATTTTTTACAAAAATTTGTTTATTTTTGTTATTTTATTGTATAGGTTTGTAACTAGACTAAGGTAGACATATCACAGTAGCACAAACACCACAGACGTCACGGACTAATGTGTTAATTCTAGCTGGCGACACACGACGTGGTTAATATTCAAATGCTTAACTTAATACTTAACTTTAATTTATTTAATCGTTTTCATTTTATTTGCTTTGACAACTTATTTGACAAGTTATCAAGACAAATAAAATAAACTTGTATGTTTTAGGGGAGTTTATAGTTATAGGTTAGTGTATGTTCAAACGTAGACAACCCACTTAGCCACACAACATCTCAAACAAATAACAAAAGTTTTAAACGAATTACTAAATTACAAAATATCAACTACTTTCAATTGCATCATAATAGAACGATAATAAACGATCACAAATGAATTTGTACACAATAATACGTATGAATAATTAATCCAACAAAAATAAAATGTTAAAATGATTACGAAAAAATCCAAACGAATAATTCGAGCACTTTACGTCGTTTCGATGTTTTTTTCAGCTAAATTTCTAAATGCTAAAATGCTATGTTTAGATTTGTTTACGACTATACTTTTTATTACTTTAAACACCAATAATTAACACTTTCACGTACATACGTACGCAATGATTGCAATTGATTTTGAAAGTGATTGTAAATAGATTTCAGTTCGTGATGACAGATGACAACGCCTAAAAATCAATCAGTTTCGAATGGTCTCGACGTCGTTGCAAATTTTTTACTGTTCCAGCGTCTGGTTTTGACATTTTCGCACGTAATTTCGCGTATATTACATAGTGTAAAACTATTCGCTGCACTTTTCTACCCGTCACTCACATATTTTCAACGTAATTCATTTTTTTTTTACTTCGTTAGCATCAACGTGATGAAACACATAATGAATGCAATATGCAACCAGATGTACACGAACAATGAGATTGCAATGTGTAACAAATTCGGTTTGCACAGTGTTACAGTTCGCTCAAAATAATACAGAGTGTTATTAAAAATGATTACTTACAGCTGCAATTCAGACATAAAGAGCACATTCAAAAAAATGTATACACAAACATCGAGAAAAACAAAATGGCCGAAGAGAAAAGCCAGACGCAGGAAGTGAGAGCGGTGAGAGTCTGAGAATGGAATCAAGTGCAGTCGGCTCGCCAAACAAAACAAACCCAATATTGAAAGATCAAAAACACAAAATCACCACAACTTGAGAGAATACCAAACTATGTATTTAGAAAACGTTTAGAAACATTGAAAACCTGTGTACTGTTAGTGGTAAATAGTTTACAGTTGAGGTTATGTCACAACAAGCAAAAACTACACAGTATGTATGCGGTAGGCAACCAAATGAACACATGTAGGGTGTAAAAGTGATTTTCGTGGCTTTTGCTTGTTGTGGTCTTTTGTTTGCCGTAGAGTTGTTGTTTGTTGTTGACGTGAAATTTAGTGAAAGTGGGTTTGACGATGGGCGGGTCGGCGGGGCGGCACTTACTATGGAGCAGGGGAGAGTCGGGGGTGATCGGATGCTAGGTGCCGTCGGCGCGATGCAGCAGCGCAAACTGGCACCCGCACTCGCGGCCGTGGCCGTGGCCCTCCCTCGAGCGGCGCGGCAAGCGGAAACATGCGTCCCACATAATGCAGCATCCCTCCTGCGGCAGCGACGATATGGACGGGGGCGGGTCGAACGGCGCGCGAAACAAAAAGAGAAAAAACACACATACAGCAAAACGTTATCCCATTCGAAACATGAGCAACAAAACAAACGCCCTCTGTTGTTATACAAAAGAAAGAAATTCAAGCAAAGAAGTCTCTTTTGCAAATCTGTTTTCGTGTTGGAGTTCTTTTTTGTTTTGGCATGTAATTAAACAAACTTTATTTTTTCGATTTTTAACTTGTCAATTCATTAAATGCACTTATAATTAATGTTTGCACTTAAAAATACAGAACTGAACTTAAAAATAAATATTTGCACTTTGAAAAATGAATTCCACTTGAATAAAATGCTTTGCACTATGAAATTAATACTTTGCACTTATAAAACTTGCAGTATTAAGTACGTGCCGTACTCTACCACCACCCCCAACCCCCAACCACCCCCTCCCCCCAAACCCCCAACCACCCGACAAATAATACCAAACAAGGGAGCCTACCTAACCACCACCCCCGGCCACCCCAACCCCCCGACCGCCCCACAAATAATACCAAACAAGGTAGCCTACCTAACCACCACCCCCAACCCCCCGACCGCCCCACAAATAATACCAAACAAGGTACCCTACCTAACCACCACAAATTATAAAGTTTCAATTTAAAAAGTTGATTCAAAGCAAATTTAAGCTTAAACCTGAATATATAAGTGCATTGTATTAAAATATAAGTTATACAATCTATAGTGCATAATATGAATTTCTTAGTGCAAAGTATGAAAACTTAAGTGCGGCTGTTCAAGTGGATTGTATTTTAACTAAAGTGCATTTAATATATCCCCTTTTGTTTTCTATTACTAGCTGGAAAAAACTTCAATCTTGAAATGTTTCAGTTTATTATTCAAAGTGAACGTCAAAAAATGCACACAACGTGAACGAAATCTACGAGTAAATATTTTAACCAACATTAATGACTTGTTAATTTGGTTGCATACATTAAAAGTCATTAATTCATTAAAATATTATGTTTTTAGTAATACAAACATCCAAAACGTGATAATAACACTTGCCGTAGGTTAAAAAATAAAAGCAAGAGAGATTTTTTAAAGAAAAGTTGAAGAAAGTAAATAAATAGAGCATTCTTTGATTGATTTTTTTACGAGTACTGTGTCAAGTGTTCGTTGTACTTGAATGTGATAAGTTTTAAATGTGTTTTACATCATTTATCTCTTCTTTGTATTGTTTGTCTTTGATTGCATGTTGCTTCTCGTTGTCAGTTGTGTTGTCATGTCAACAGAGTTGCAGCCATTCAACTGTTTCAACGCTACTAAGTTGCTCATTGTTATAACCCTCTAATACAAGTTCAACATTGTGTAGATTGCAACTTGCAGCAGAAGTTACGATTAGTTGCTGCTAGTTGGTAGTTCCAACTTGTTAAACTTGCAAAAGCCTCTCTGGAATACATGAATACACTAAACCGGAACTATAGTGTTTCCGGTGATTTTCCATTTTACGCAGGAATTTATTAATGCGGCGTAATCATAGTTTATAACAAAATTTAATAAATTTTCATGCGGTAATCGATAATATATTATTTGCCATAAAATAATTTCACGTGAAATGCAGGAGATAACGCGTAATCCAATTCAAATACCGGGTAAAGCTGAAATTTCAAATCCGATGATGATTTAATGAGCCGTGGACACGATAGTATTCAATGACACACAATGCTTTCACGCTTAAATTATTAAATTTCGATCACAGTGCATTAATGTTTATGATTTTTTAATTTTGGTCGATATCAATTTGTAAAGACTACAATAGAATTATTGTAACAACATGTATGGTTCGCATCATGACGGACAATGCGTGAGCTGATGAGGCTGATGACTTAATGACATAATAATGAATCGCCAATAGGATTACTTCGGCTTTGCGGGCTTTGAAACCACCGAACGCGCAGAATAATCACATACGTAATCGAATGACCTAGTGACCTAACCACAACTCAGGCTGAAAGTCAAATATTTGTTGCGCATGCGTTTATTGTGTTTGACAAGTGTAATAAGTTGCCTACGTTGCAATATTCAAACACGAAGCGTTTCGCAAATACCAACTATAATAGAATATTAATTTAATTTGATGTAAATTAATTTACTTCACCAAATTAAATATAATTTAATAATTTATCAATTAATGTAATTATTAAATTATCCAATTAATAATTTTGGCTAAATTAATTATTTCCCAGAGGAATATTTCATGTGCAATGTTAATATTTGCAAAATATGTAATGTGATATATTTTTTTGTTGGATCGTAGGCAACACACGTGTCGCTATCGTTTAGTTGAGTCCCGCGTGTATAATTATTGGTGTTCGTGCAAATAATCGCCCGCGCTCCTGCAAGAAGTTTATTTAAACAGAGCGAAGCAGCGAAAAAAAGTCATTAATTTACCATACGAGCACAAGATGCTAGTTACCTACTGGTGGCATGCTAATTTATACAGGGTGTCACACTTTAAACCATCATAAATTCACACAATTTTATTTTTTTGCTACTTGTGACACTCTGTACAATGCAACAATGCAATAAACCGCATTCAATTACTGTACTAATCAAATATCTAAGTATACCAATCTATCAACAATGAGAATGTATGTAATAATTAATCATTTATACAGAGTGTTTGAAAAATAAAACAAAACAAAAACTAAACACTCTGTATCTAAGTTACAAATGAGAATGATGATTATTAGTTCTACAGTTATTATGTTTTTACTGAATTAGCTTTAAATTACTGATAAAGTGGTAGAGGTATGTCAAACTGTTAAAATTGTCAAAGATGCGATTGTTACAACACGCTTCAAAAAGCTAAACGTGCGCGAGCAGTTCGAGCAGCAAATCGTACAAAAGAAAGGTTAGAACGTGCGCGAGAGATCGATTGGTTGCATACCTCGTAACCAGGAGGGTTTTTCGACTCGACGCTGTCAGTCATCTGAGAACAATGCAATTTGCGTCATGTACTTAACATTTCATTGTAAATAATAAATCTATATCGGCGTCATTCGCCACCTAAACACTAAATTAATAGGTAATAGTTAATAATCATTTTCGTAGCGTCTACGTTCAGCAGCAATCTGCATTACCGACTTGTGTGTGAGAATTATATGTTTAGATCGGTTTTTCGTAAGAAAACAAGTTAAAAATATAAAGTAAGTATACAGGGTGTTTAAAATCAACATTTAGTCACTGCAAACAACAGTTTCGGACACTTTTGGACACAAAATCACGCTGGACGTGTGGACAAGTTGAAATTTAGTGGTGGGTGCTACGCAAGAGCTAGTTTTGAATCTCTTTTTTTTTTTCAAGTGGTGGTAAAAATGGTGTCACAACATGGTAGGCAACAATGGTGGAGACAGAGCGTGGAGAGCATCACACATTTTTCTATTCGTACTTGTTCTATTTAATGCACATATTCCGAAAGAGAATACAAAAAATTTAAGCAAGCATTTAAGTAAGGTGGGCGGGGCTTCAACTAGCAAACCTAAACGTCAAACGAATTACTGATACTTGTACGCATAGTATATAACTAATAATCAATATCTCTATTTTTACAAATTCATTTACATCAAAATAATACAAATTTATTTTTTAAGGTTTTTGAGCGCTATTAAAATGGCGGTAATTAATTCAATTGGTGGTTACGTAAGGGTTTACTTTGACGCACGTGTTCTACCAGTCATCCAATTAGAACAATTTATATAATTAGATCTTCAACACGCGATCGAAAACCACAATTGAATATTGAATTAATATCCTCTTAACTAGACATACAATGTGTTTAAATATTTGTTTTGTACAAAACTAAAAAGGATTAAAATGGAATTTCTATTACTCGGAATTTGAAATCAATTTTAACCAGACGGAATCAATCAATTTGTCATAATTTAACTTTGACAGATGATCGATTGCTATCAAAATGGATGCCTGAAAGCTACTCATCGCACCACCTCGAAATGCTTGCTTAGTTTTTTTTTGTTGTAGTTAATAAATATTGAAATTTCGCATATAACGTCAATAGAAAAATGAATGCGATGCGTCACCTTTTTGTAGCCGAAGCCGCCCCCGCTGTCGCCGTGTTGCTGGTGTTTGTTGTTGTCGCGGTGGCGGTTGTTGTTGTGTTGGTTGTGGTGGTGGTGATGAAGGAGGTGGTGATGATGGACGCGTTTGACCGGCTCCGACGATTGCCGCAGGATGCGGCAACGCCGGTATCAGTCCGCCAGCGAATTGCCGCCGCCAGCGTCCTTGCCGCCATTGACGCCGTCGACGGTCGGCATGTAGGTCATCTCCACCGTCTCGCACCTGCATATCGTTTTCGTAGGCCGCGAGAGCAGTCGCAGCCGATCGCGTCGCTCACACTGTGTACATATACACACACACATACGTAAGTTGTTACGCTGTTCCACTACAGATGGCGCTAGGCGTTATTTTTACTATTTTGCATATAAAACTTGAACTTAGCAAAATATCTAAAAAATTTTTGCTGTGTTTTTCAAAGGAATAGATACCCCATGTTTATAATAGTTTCATTTGAGTTATACTCTTTAACATAATGCACATTTAAAGAAATGGATTTGCATATTGCTTTTATGGAGTTTCCTTTGCGATTTTCCGAGAAAAGTTGATTAAATTGAAATTGCGAGTTGAAATTGCACGCGAACAATCGAGAAGAAAATGGAACTCAACGCGGAAGTATTAACTTTCCAACTTGCCAGGACGAGGAATAAATAAGACGAACACAATTTGCATAACTTACACGAACATAAATGAAGACATTGTCGTATAACGACAAGATAAACTGCCGACGTAAAACAGTAGAAGTGAAACTAAAAATATTATAATATGATAAAACCTAAACTTGAACATGTACTTTATGTGTAGCAATAAAAAAATAATAATTAGGATAAAATTTAACGGCGAAAAAACATAATTTAAGAAAATTAACAAAAATATGATCCACTTATTTGGATATCATTACTGAAAGTAATTTGGCGCTCCTATTTTTACGACTGACTTTCACGCGTGCCTGTCTGCTCATTAGGAAAATGCGTGGTTGTCGGAGCGTTCATTTTATTGTCTCCTAACGCGACCGTTGAACCGTTTTCTTGTCGTGTAATTTTGTAATTTTCGTCGTTTCGTTCGTGGCCATGTCTTTATTTCATTTCATTAGGTTTTACTTCCTTTTTTTAATACTTTTTTCATTCCAGTAACTTTCCATTAGTTTCTATTTCATATATTTTAAAATATATCGTTTGGGTTGGTGTAATAAACATAATGGAATAGTATTAATATTATATAACTTATTAACATAATATATAATGTTAAAATATCAGTAAAATTTATTATTGTGTTTTGTGGAAGTGAAAACTGTTGAAATTTGGTTCGTTTGTTGAGGATTGCGTGACATAACCCCACAAAACTTCAAGATTAGATATTTATTTCTTTTATTTCAATGCTTACCCTTAAATATATTTAATAATTGCTTATTTTCGTGACCTACCAAAAATTATTTTAGGTGTATAGTCGTGGTGCTCAAATATGACGCGCAAAAAATATTTGTGTTGTGCATTTTCTAATTATTACCACAAATATTCTTATTGATGTGTTAAAATATTCATTCCAAACCTATTTGACACTAGTTTTTGCCCGCGACTTCGTCCCAGTAGTGATAAATAGGTAAAAATGTAATTCGTTTTTACTATCTTGCTCCAGACATAGTGTGTGTCTTATTCTATCAATACGATTCGCAATTTTATTTTTAGGAAATTAATTATATATTGAATTGCTAATAATGCACTTCAATGCGCCATCTTGGATTCAACTATTTAACTGTAACTATAATTGAATTTTAATGCCAACTTTTTTTCTATGAAAAAGGGGTGTCTTTAGAGGCAATGTTGAGTTATGCGCTTACCAACAGATTTTGCGATCCATTTTTGTATTATAGATTATAATTTGTAACAACAATTCTAAAAAAATGTTTCTAAATCAAAATTTGTCAAGAATTTTCGAATTTTATGAAAATTAATAATTTTTATAAAAAATTATTAATAATTTTATGTATAAATATTAAAACATCAAAATCTTAACAAATTTATTTTAGAATTTATTTATTATATTTAATTAACAATACGATGCCTATGTTTCGTATAATTAATTAAAAACTAGAAAAAAAATAATTATGCATGAGTCAAATAAGAGCACCATAACTATAACCATAAAGTTAGATATTTGATATCAAACAAACTGAATTTTACGACTTTACGAATGCAATAAACATAAAGGTATATCATAAATAAAATTTGCGTGTTCAATGATATTTATATGGATTTTCAGAAAATAGAATTAAATTTAACGCTCGGCGCCTCCACCATATGCTTTTCTCTTGAAAGCCCGCTTTACAAATTCCATCTCCGCGTTAACTCAAAATAAAATCGTAGGTAAATGTGAAAAACAAAACAAACAAAAATGATTCATTATAATTTTTCGCTTTGATGCATCATTGCTTTGACATCTCAAGGATATCGTTATGAGCGTGTACGAGCGAGAAACAAATGTCGAAAGGACAAACAACGTATGGCAACGAATCAAAATCAAGCGGACAAACGAAGGCAGCGAACGAGTCGAAAGCAATGATGGCAGAACAAAAAAATTGAACTCAATGAGAGGCATGAAAGCAAACTCGTGTTTCAGGCCTGCGAGCAGTCGTTACTATATTTGCTCTTATTATTTACCGCGGAAAAAAATCAATGCAAATGTAAAGCAAGCAAAATAAATAAAATCTGATAACATTAAAAATTAGTCAAAATGACACAATTTAAGGAATAGCTGTAATTTTAGTCGACTGAATGTGGCCTAGTCTACTCAAATCACCTCACAAGTATGTGGTTCTAATTTTCTCAAGTCTAGTCGGTTTTTTATGGAACTTTTCTAACCCAAACACTCATGTGTGTAACTTATTAAATATTTACGTTTACAATAATAGTAATCAACTCGTTGTGATGACTGACAGGACTGGCCACAAAAACAAAGCTGAAAAAACTACAATCATTCAATTAAAGTGCGCATAAAATTATTTCTTAAATTCAGACATTAATCTAAATAAAAGGAGAATAATGCAAAAAAAGCAATGATAAATGTGGAAAAAAGTTATAAAAATAATTAATTATTTCATGAGTTTACTTAACTAGACTAGACTAAGGCTTGATTTTTATAGAACACAAGTTTATCGATTACAATTATTTTCATAGTTTTTCACGCGATTAATTGTAGTACTACGTCAATTATGCATGAATCAATTTTTGTTTACGTAATTATTTTTAATTATTATTTACTTTTTGTGTTTACTTGTTAATAATAAAAATAATAGAGTGCATATTTTTTTTATATTGATTTACATGTGTTAAATTATGTGGAGGCGCCGGGCATTAAATATTTATCTTTTGAAAGGGTTTCCTAGGAAACTGCTTATTAAAAGCTTCCGGGAATAATATTTTATGAAATACATTTTAAACTAGCTTTTGCCCGCGACTTGGTCCTGGTAATGTTTAATATAAATGTAATTCGTTTTAACTCTCTTGTTGTAGACATAGTATGTGTCAATTCTATCATAAGATTCGCAATTTTATTTTAAAGAAATTAATTATACAGAGAATTGCTAATAATGCACTTCAGCGCGCCATCTCGGATTCAACTATTTAACTATAACTATGATTGAATCTCAATGCCAACTTTTATCCTATAGAAAAGGGCTGTCTTTAGGGTTTTCCCAGCAATTATTCGAATTTGTCTCAACGTAAAAACCATCCTTGGGCTTTAACAAACATTTAAAAAATAGTATTGATCAAATTGGTCTAGGCGTTGTTGAGTTTTGCGCTTACCAACAGATTTTCCCAATCATTTTTAGATTAAAGATTTAAAAATATATTTTTCTTAAAACTGTTCTTTTCGTATATTAGTTAAAATTTTAGCAGGTTTTTTTTTTATTTCGAACGCTACCATGAGCTAACAAAGAGAGAAATCCTATAACTTTGTAAAAAAGAAAGAAATAATAAATTATAAGACCCAAACCGCAAAATATGTAATCCTTAGAGAAAATAATCCAAGGATTATCACTTTTCCTTGTTTATTCGTTCACCGTGTCTCTCTGTATGTGTGTATGTTGTTAATTACTACTTAGATTATCATTTTTTATATATCACTTCATTAATTAGTCATCCACGTCCATAAATTCGTCCTTAAAGTAATTTTTACCACCACCATGTATCAGTTGAATCAATAATTCAATTAGAATATATTTGATGAGAATAATTCAGACGCTTAATTAAGACCGATCGGCCCTCTTGACACCCTCGAGGAATATGAGTTCAATAGATGCTTGAAATTCAATTAATATTCGACACTAATCGAAATCCCCAACAATTTCGTCCAATTTAAATAAATTAAATGCCAACGTTTTGCTACGATTGTTATCATTTAATTTATTCCTTCATATTTTTATAGTACGCTGCTGTTTGTCGAATAAATAATTGCATAATTCATTGATAATAACAGTTGATAGCAGATTTAATGTCAATTCTAATATACGATGTGTTCGTGTGAGAAATGCAAGAGTTAAGTATTAGAATAAAAAAATGCGAATAAAAGACTGACCTGCGTGCATATCTCGCCGGAGTGATGATTGCAGGTGTTGCCAGCAGCGACTGCAGCAGCACACGCCGCAGTTCCGGGTACCTTCAGTTGATCCTGTTTGTAGTCCGGCTGATAAGGCAATAACATTCTGATTTTGCCCCAGCGATTGAAGAAGAGCGCGATGGCGGCGACCCACACCAGCAGGACGATGAGCACTATGCCTATTTCTACTCCACGTACCTATAAATATAAAAAATATGAAAAAATGTTTTTTATTAATTCTGACACATTGTATATTCTTTATTAATTAAGTTTATCACACTGGGCTATTGATTTCGACTCGTTAGTGCCGACTGGTCGCAATTCAATTATGTAGAGCCACTCGATGCACTTTGTAGATGATATCGTTTGCGCGTGTGGGTGGGGTACGCATAAAGGGTTGAAATAAAGTTAATTACTCACCGTGGAACTACTCGTGGGATACTCGACGTCCGGCGCGTCCGACGCGGGTGATTCCGACGTGACATCCTGCTGCGTGGTCGTCTTTGGAGGCTCTGCAAAACACAATTTACATCAATTTCCTCACTCGGACAAATGAAACAAAACGGTAAACAAACAAAAGAAGGCAACAATGAGTAGTAAAACCAATATTAATATGACGTACATACTACATCGGCTACGAGTTGGCTAATAACATGTAAACAAGTCGTATAACAAAACGCTAACGATAAACAAACACATAAAAAGGTAGTGACGTCATAATAAACTACGACACAACACGAAATAATATGAACGACGATTGCCATTAAACAAACATATACGAAAAATTCGAGAGACAATTTAACAACGAAATGACAAAGCATAAAGCAGCGATCGGATATTGACGGTTTCCGTTTCCGATCTCTCAGAGTCTCACAAAGTCTGGGCTCTTGAAACTCGGAAATACACGTAACTCAAAGTTGGAGAGTTGTTTGAGTTGCGAGTTCCGAGTTCGGAACGCCTCAAGAACGGACGGAAACAAAAGAAGCAGAAAACAAAACAAATGTTTCATTTCATCTGTAATGACAGTTATAAGGTAAAAATGGCCGAAAAAAATACATCGGATAGTTGGTAAACTTCAAGATAAATTTGAAACGATAAAGTTGGAAAAGATACGTTCAAACAACCAGGAAATTATTAAATTTTAGTTTTATACAGTGTGTTCGTAGTTTTTATAAAAGAAAATTTATAATTCTTAATTTTATGATAAAAAAGAATAAAATTTTAATAAGGTTTTGAAAAAATTCCGTTTTTTTGTAATTTTATGTGATTTTTACTTTGGACACACTGTATAAACCTACAATACAGTAGCATACACCTTGGCTACTTGAAAACATCAAAAAACAATAAATTGTGTGAATCTTACGACATGGCGATGCGTCGTTGAGACGTTTTGCATGTTTTAATGACATCTTAACAACTGCGGCAAACACAGGAGACAAAAAACAGAAACAAATTAGAGAATTAGACAAACAAACACATTTCACATCCTGCGTGTAAACCCGAACATAAAACTGTTAAACAGAAAGTTATGTGACTTTTATGTGATGATAAAATGTGTCGCTGCACACATCGAAAGCTTCTTTTTACTCGTAAGTTATGTTTTTCAAGGTCTATTCACCACTAGGTGGCTGCAGTAGAATGGTTACGAGGTTATGTACAGGCGTGTGGCTTACCCAGTGTGCGGAAGACAATCGGCCGGCTCTTATACTTTTGCCGCCGTAGACGGCGGCGACGGTCAGCTGGTACTGCGTGTCCGGCTTGAGATGTTGCAGCGTCACCGCGTCCGAGTTGCCGGCGACGATCGCCACCACTCTGAAACTAACGACCTAGTTTATTCTAGTTACAGCACGTGCTCGCTTATTACTAGCAGAGCCAACATCAAGCGATAGAAGTATAGAAACTAATACTGCCCTGTCTATAAAATACGTTTTCGTTTAGTTTTTTGCTTATATCTCGGTTGTTATTAATGTTAAAGCGATAAAATTTATGGTAACGTATAGTCAAATAACCTACCTTTAATTTAACCTCAAAAATATTGAATTTATATGAATAGTTTTTAAAATATTTGAATTCAAAATAAGCATTTTTAATTAAAAAATTGTTAAAAAGCAATAAATATGGAACTAAATAAAAAAAAACTAGTTTATCATAAAAAACGTATTCGAAATATCCAAATACTATTGGAATGAAATCAAAGTAAACTCGTATTGCAATCGATTGCCCACCAAACTACCCCCACCGCCGCAACTGTAGAAAATGATGGCGCAGGGTGACCGGCTGATATTTCGAATGCGAGCGCGTGTGCCGACTATTTTAATATTAAACCACGTGTCTGACACAAAAACATATTTTCGTCTGGCTGCACAACGACAATGTATACAAAACAAATTCGTCAAGACAGCTCTATACTAATATCAAGACGGTTATTTCAATATTTGTTTCTTATTACTGTTCGGCCACCCCGACGACTAATAGTAAAAAGCGTGTGGAAATTAGGTCAATCACATAATATTCAAAAATCATCAATATTTGATTACGGAAATCCGACTAAAAAATAAAATACTCACTCTTGAAATAATATGAGTTTTAAATATGATTTTATAATCCAAATATAATGCACTCGCAAAATCCACTCACTTAGTTATAAATAAATAATACGCTTCTGTTCACTAATTAATGTCAAAAAATGTAACCGGGAGAATGGTGTAGGTTTCGCGCGCGAGCGTTCGCGTCCGTCCGGCGACAACCCTTCGCTTGCACAATTCATCGCAACGTTTGGAGGTGCCGGCGGAGGCGGCAGCGGCGGCGGCGGAGCGAACAAAACGAACGCGAGCACCGCGTTAGGTATTCGGGCATTCATTATAGATATCAATGCGCTCGCCGAAGTCGATTGTGCTTTTTCCGAGCCTATTTAGGTCACGCTCTTCGAACGTCGCTCAACGACTTCGATCTATTGTCCCAAGCGTTACATGCACTAAGCATATACATCTTACAGTAAAATCTATAATTATTTTTCTTTTAACCTCAAAAATATCACAATGCTTTAATTAATTAAAATTAATTAAAACCATTTTTCCATTTTCAATTGTCCTGTGCGTTTAGGTAGTACTAATTTAAAGTAATATTTTTCTCTTGGTATATTGAGTAGAATAGGGCGCAACCCAACATACATCCACTAATACGTAGTTATTACACTCAATGTTTGCAGTGCAGACTCAGCACTATAGATGAACACAACCTAAACTAATGTGTAATCGATAATTCACGCAACTAAACATTCCAACTGCTAATAATTTGGTACGAAATTCAAATATGTTAAATCCTTACTAATATTATAAATGCGTATGTCCTGAAGTTTATCGTGCTTTCACGCAAAAACTACTTAACAGATCATCATGAAAATTTGTACACATATTCTTAGTGATCCCCGATAGGTTATAGGCTACTTTTTATTTAATAAAAATACTTATTTTTTTAAATAAAATAAAGAAATTGTTTAGTCACTAATACCTCTGCATCTGGTTATTTGACTACTTGAACGCCATCTAGCATTCCAGCAATGAAGCTCACACCTAAGTACTATAGTACCATCACACTGTATTACCGACAGCTACGTCAACATCAAATCCGTACACATATTCTGAGTGGTCCCCGATGGTCCCCGAATGGTTATAGGCTACTTTTTTATTTAATAAAAAAAATTATTTTATAAATAAAATAAAGAAATTGTTTAGCCAATAATTCCTCTGCATCTGGCTCATTGACTACTTTAACGCCATCTAGCATTCCATCTAAAATTATAACTTTATTGCATGTAGTAATTTCACATCCTAGCCAAGCAGTGAAATATACATTCTTTCTATCAATCCGTTTCAACTATGTATAATGATTTCTAATATTTATTTGATGGATTCAACGCGAGCGAAGCCGCGGGTTAAAGCTAGTAGTTAATATATGTGTATGCATACTTTTAGTTTTAAATTAATTAAATTTTTTTAATCTAAAAAAATATAAATTAATTAAATTCCCTTGTTAAAAATGTTATTTCAGTGTGATAACAGTTAAACGTCCTCGCCCACGCGAAACGAAATAAAAATCCGCCCACGACCACTCGGAAATGCAATCAGCTGAAGATCCGTTAACTACCGCCGCCAGTGAAACGCGAACGCAAGAATAAAAGTACCCTTCTAAGCGTGGATAGAAATTAAAAATGTATGCGACCGGAATGTAAAACGCTAATATTAAATTCTGAAAGCATCCCCAATATGCAACAGTATATAATACTACAATCTTCTATGGTATCCTATTCGTATGTAATCTAGGAAAATAAAATTGCTTCCTACTCCAACCCGAAATTGTTATTTTTTCCGGTTTTAGCTTTTTCGCTTTCCGGAATTTTAATTTATTGTTTAATAAAACGAATGTGCTACAGCACTAAACGTAATGCGTTTCCGTGTAACAAAACTAAACTGGAGCAGGCGTTTTCCGCCCTTCCGATTACGCTCGTTTCCGGTCTGCAGTGTGCAGTGTGTTAATGACGTTAATTTAATTAACTAATGAACTTCTATATTTACATTCGCACTTGTGGGTAATTTTGTTTTTATCTAAACGGAACTTATCTAGACTAATTTTATGCAATAAAATTATGCAACCAAATATACTCATATTTGTATAGTTGGTTGCATATATTAAACTTACAAATATACCGTATTCCGTTTTAAAGTTGAATCACAGTATTTTAATGAAATTCACTTTAAAAACCAAAAAGATTCAAATTGAATTTTTTCAACCTCAATGAGTGTCACAGTGAATCGATGCTACCCGAATGATATTCGCGCGATGACTGCCGGCGTCGAGTGCGGCGTGGAACGACTAATTGAATCCTTTCAAGACGCGCTCAACCGACCGGCCAGCCCCCGACTGACTGCACTCACACCCACATACACCTTCCCATACACTCGCCTCGACAAAAATGTGATGTGACAGTGTAAAACCGATGAAGACAAACTTGAACACGTTCGCGGACGATGGACCAAATTCCAAAAAGTGAGATACAAAAATGATACGGATGTGAAACACCCCCTGGAGAAATACGAGGTAGAAGGGAGAAAAATGAGAGTTTGGTAAAGTTTTCCAAGATAAATCACGCGTTTCGCCACTCTTCGCTTCTTTTCATCACGAGCGCGCAGAGACTCCAAAGTAACCTAATTAATGCCCGGTCGGCGTCATTGCGCCAAATCGCTTACGAAAATAAATATCGTAATTATAAAGTTATTAAAACTTTAGAAAAGCTTTTAACACACCGACACCACCAGTAATTATCGTTTTGCAAATTACAGAAAACTGTAATGTCAATTATATAAATTACAGACTCACATAACTCACATAACCTCAATTCTAAACTCAAAAGCTGTGAATGGTGCGGTGATGGCTCCTAATTTAATTCGTACGAATCGATTGCCACCCCCTCAACGGACAGATATTTTCGTGCATCAAAACAGACACCTATGTTTACCCCCATCAATATTTCTATATCAAGATCTACTACTACGTACGTCTATTGCTACGTCTACGTTCTGGATGGCTAAATCAATTCGAGTTCGATTTCTAGTTGAGTGCGCGACGCGCGGGGGTGCGAAAGAGCGTGAGACGAACCTAGACACACACCTGGCATCCGTCGGCTTGTAAGTGACGTCGTACTTCTCGATGTGTTCGATGGACGTGTCCCACGAGACGCGTACCGACGTCGGGCTGATGAACGTCACCGTGATGTTCTCTGGAATGCCCGGCATGCCGGGCATCGGTGGCATTGAACCTGTGAATAATGTAGAAATCTGTATTGTTGGTAAGTAGAAACCTGTAATTCTATTTGACAGTATAACCACACTTTGTAAGCAGTAATTTTAATTTTACTTAATTTTACTGTTTTATAATGGTTTCTTAAATTAATTTCAATCAACTTCCGGTCTGTTGCGGTTGCAGGCGCGAGATTCTAATCAGAAAATACAATAAACGTAGACGATGCCACAAACAAAGCCTGCGCTGTGTTTGTTTAATTAGCGCGCTGCGCTGCTAGTTTTAATTAAACACTCCCGGACGTGAAGATGCGGAAATAGTGTAGCACGTTGAGGCACTCAAGTGTTTCATCCATGAGATATAATGCAGAATACAAGCATGCGGATAATCCAAGTCAAGGTTATTTTAAAAACTATTTTTATTTTATTTTATTTTTAAATTGTAATTTTTGTATTTTGTTCTTTTTTATTTACCTGCTAATCCGGCACTGTGTAGCAGAATGACTGTGGCCACCAAGATCATATTAGCTGCACGCTGAGTCCCCAGTCGGCGCTAGCATGGCGCTGCCCGGGGATGGGATCACGACGCGAGCGGGGGCGGCGCGACGACGCCCGCCGTGAGGGCACACGACGACGCCGACACTGTCGACGCCGCTCGCAGATGCATCGCCTAGAAAATACTGTAACAAAACAAACAAATCATAAATCTATTACATCGATAATACAGAAATCTATAAAAAAAAAACTACTTGAGCACAACCACAAACATAATATTTTCAGATTTGAATTTGCGGTTTATCGCAATTTCAGCGTGTGTAGAACTTCACGATGCGTAGAAAACAAATTGATACTAACGACGGTAACGACCACCACCCTCGGGCTGTCGAATGTCGAGGTTGAAGTAAATCGGCATGCTTGCAAATCCCCGAGATGAAGAAGCAGAGCAAAGGCCGTCGACGAATGCGATTTGCGGCGAATGGGCAAATTGAGATTGATTTTGCGCGCCGCCGACAGGCGGTCACGGCGATCCGAAGAAGAATAACGAGAAGCGATGGAACGATAAAGCGAAATGCCTACTGATGTTAAAGAAACTTGACGGCGGAGATTGGTGAAAAAGAGCGGTAAACCGCTAACGATTTGTTCAATGGGAGTCGAAATATCTGCAAACGTTGCAAACATATCAGGGAAACACATAAAAGCCGAGGTAAAAAACATAATTTGTTTCTTATAGGCACAAAAACATGTTTTTATGCCTTCATTGTGTAACATTTTCTACTTTAATACTGTTTTTCTGCAGAAATAAGAAAACATAAAAATCTTGATGAATTGCTTCAGTTTAATATTTGGTTTGTTTATTTTTCTTCAGTAGTTTTAATTTAAACGGCATATAAAGTTCTGTTGGCTCCGCCCACATGCACACTTAACATGCTGCAGCGGAAATGTTTTTTCCTGATGTAATTTTCCTCTCAGCACATTTTGTATTCTTTTTGCCAAACCACGCTGAAATTAACTCACGCTATAAAAGGCTTAAACCCTCGGCTTTTTACACGCCCGCCTTGCATTACTCTAAGTGCTCGCTAGCGAATACTTGGCAGGCAACCAACCATACTGACGCGAAGGTTAATCTCGTGCAGGCTTTTGCATAAAAGTGCGCTGCTTGACTGCATTACCGCAAAGCGCTTTTCGGCATTAAAATTTGCCACACTGTCAACAACTGATAATGTCACCCTCGAGTGGTGTATTCATAACAGGATCATAAAACACAGTCTCAATGGAATTAGATTTGCAAAGGAAATATTTACGCGCTGTTGTGCAGAAGATGGCAGCACTGTGTTCCAGCCTATTTATTTTAAAGTGTGTACAGTTGAAAGATTGAGATTTATGCTAAAAGGAAGTGCAGCAGCCAGTCAATGGGTCGGTGGAGAAAAAGAATTGTGAGTAGACTACCGAGCAGACCGCGTAACAAAATGGCGTCCAGGGCGTAGTGCAATGGACTCATCTGTAAAGATGTTTCAGCGGAAACGTTTTGTATGTGTACGATCAACACCATTTGCAAGACCATTAAACATGCCAATAACTTCATCTAAAAGTTAATAAATATTTATGTTGGATTTAGAATTTTGTTTTTCAAAAGCTTACCATTTTAACAAATAAATATTTGCGCGGATAAATTTTTAAACACAATGAAAATATATGTTACTAGCTTATATATGCGCACATCGCGGACGATAGTTATTAGAGATAACTATATTAAGATTATTTTACATTTTTTAGGAATTTGTGTGCAAATCAGGAAACAAAACAATTCAAAACTATTCAAATTTGAATTCTGACCTAGGTATATAGATTAGAGGCATAAAAATAACAACAATCTAATTCTAAATAATCTAGGTTGTAAAGTAAATTTGAATAACACTAATTTGTTACGCAGTTTGCCAATAAACTCATTTCCAAGATTTTTAGAGACAAAATATTGCAGAAATTTTACAAAAAATTTCATAAATTACTAGCCTTTGCCCGTGATTTAGTCCCGGAAGTGTTTAATAAAAATGTCATTCGTTTTTACTCTCTTGTTTTAGACATAGTATAAGTCAATTCTATCAATAAGATTCGCAATTTTATTTTAAAGAAATTAATTATATAAAGAATTGCTAATAATGCACTTCAGCGTGCCATCTCGGATTCAACTATTTAACTATAACTATGATTGAATCTCAATGCCAACTTTTATTCTATAGAAAAGGGATGTATTTAGGGTTTTCCCGGCAATAATTCAAATTTTTCTCATCGTAAAAACCATCCTTGGACTTTAACGAACATTTAAAAAAAAGAAAATTAGTCTAGGCGTTGTTGAGTTATGCGCATACCAACAGATTTTGCGATTTGAGTAATATTTATTCAAATAGAATGACAAAGTAGCAATTCATTCATAAGATCAAATCGAACAAAATACAATATTATAAAGGTTTTGTATAGAAAATGTTATTAAATAAATATAATAAATATTACAGTGACCGACAAATTAATAATAACACCAAAGCATAGTTAGAAGTACAATTTATTAGTGGATTTATAATATTTATTACATTAATTAATAATTAATCATTTAATTAATTAGTGACGTGAGTTCAGTTAATCTATATTTCATAGCATTTATACAACTTGCAAGAGAACAGAAAGGCCAGCCCATAATGAATTGCCCAATCCCAATAGACCCAAAATAAATGCTACAGGATTGTATCCTATAAGAACAAATCTCAAAATTCTACCAAGCAGACCATAATTTCCTTGGTCTTCTTCGCCATTTGCTACAATAATATCTGAAATTGGAGTAGCTGACGCAATTGAATACAAAACAAAGATGGCGGCGATTAATAGTAATAATTTTGCCTACGAACAAGTCATATGATTAATATTTATAGGTTATATATATATATATATATATATATATATATATTCTAACTCACCATATTGAATGAAATGTTTAGAAAAATATGTTTTTGTAACTTTTAACCGTACTTATAGACATTTTTTATCATTATAATTCATTATCACATGTTTCCTGATTTGCACACGAATTATTTCTGCATATTTAAACCAATTTGCGTTTGTGCTAATTTAAACACACTGTATATGAGATAATAAATTTACGACATAGGACGTCCGTTAAATTATCGCCACCTGGAATGCGCATTGCGACGACTGGCGCAAACACGCTAAACAATAAGAAACAAAAAAAGACCGTTAAAACACAAACTCGCACAAAGTTTCTCCCCAAATACGCTTCCGTACTACCGTGTTTCACTTTAGTTTTTGTTTGATTTTGCTTCTCTGGGCGCTCGTAAACCGGAGAAAATTTACGATTTAGCTACCATTAACCTTATCGCCATGTTGGCGTGCGTCGGCGGTTGACGAAAGTGCACGAATCGCGTGTTAAAGACAAAACAACGTTCAAAAACGAATGAAATAGTATATAATGGAATTCAATATTAACAATATGGCGGATATTCACCTGTTCACAGCTAATAAAATGGCCGAATTAATGAATTACAGTTTCCTGTAATATAATCTCTTCTCTGTTGAGTGTAAATTTTGATAATTTGTAATTCAACGATGAATAGACCGACTTTGAAGTCAAACAGGAACAGCTTCGGGTAGAAAGCTTCACGACAAAGTTGTGAGCCCGAAGAGAAAGGAACAAAAGCTCCACTTCGCTTTACACTTGATTAAATATTAACGAAATTACAAATTAACCGTTAGTAACGCGCAGGTAAGCTGCGAACGCAGACAACGCGGCAAATTGAGTGTAAATTAAGAAGCACACTCTAAAGTGTATATATGGTTGCCTAGGATAATATAACCTAAGCAAAGTTAAACATTTTGTGCAAATACAATAAAATCTAAAGACACTATTATATTATCCTCACTATTAAACAATAAATAAACAAACAATAAAGTGAAATTACTAGAACATTGTAAAGATTGTCATTACGTTCACAATTGTGATTCGTGTCGGGGAGATATTAAAGTTAACGAAATAAAACACCGCAGGACTATTGTCCACACAGAGCCGGATTAAAAAAAAATAAAATTTATATAAAAATTTATGAAACTGTATAATTTTATCTTGTTGTGAAGTTAAACTATTAAAAATTTAATTTTAAAAGAAATAATTTTTTTGTTAAAATTCATTATTAAATACGGCACTGAATGAAAACATTGTCGAGATATGAGTGCAGTAAGCAAGTAAGAAATAAACCGAGCACGTAAGCAAAGAATACGCGAGTAAGTTACAATCTACAATCTGAAACTGCTGAAGTCGTGAAAATGATGAAAATGTTGAAAGAACCGTAAAAACTAAAACGTGAAAACTCTCGGTTTGTAATATGTAGGAAAAGCGTGATTAACATAAGAAATGTAGGAAATGCAGGAAATGTCGGAAAAAGGTTGAAACGACCTGAAAAGCGCACTGTGCAATTGTGTGGGCGTGTATGGTTGGTGGCATGCTGTTGACTCGCTTCCTGCAGACGCCATATTAACTTTTTCACTCACGTTACGCACATAAAACCATAATATAAATGTTTTTTTATCAAGCGCTAACTTATTTTAAACGATAATTTAATTTGCGACAAGAAAAACTAATAACTACACGAACAGGAATAAGGAAAAGTATATTTGCTTCTTCTTTTATATATTTTTCGATCTTAAGTTCTGTCTTCTATAGGAGTGTAGGTCTTTATGTCTTTAGATCTTTTGATATCTTTTGCGTTTTCAGCGGAGATTCACCGCGTTTGTAAGGTTTGTGAACGTCTGCAGTTGAAGCCTCAAAGCTTCCTTATAAAACATTTTCAAAAGCACGATTTAATTCCATTCCAAGATCTTCGATCTTTTCGTACTTTCATCCTGACGTGTTTGCTATTTACTGAATTTTAGTAAGTTTCTATCTGTTAAAACTCAAAATATGAATATTTTACGGTTTTAGAGGAAGAAATAGTATATTAAGGAACAGGTGACTAAACGAGTGTACAATACCGTTTAGCCACGAGGTGCTTACGCTATTTTTCTACTTCCACTCTAGTTCCACGTTGCGGTTTTTGTATTTCAACTTTTGTATTTTGTATTTTGTATCATCGAAATTTGCTCGCACACTTATACAAACTGTAAGGTTATAAGTGCCATG